TGATGTTCCTCTTCATGTTCCTCCTGATGTTCCTCTTCATGTTCCTCCTGATGTTCCTCCTGATGTTCCTCTTCATGCTCCTCCTGATGTTCCTCTTCATGCTCCTCCTGATGTTCCTTCTCATGTTCCTCTTCACGTTCCTCCTGATGTTCCTCCTCATGTTCCTCTTCACGTTCCTCCTGATGTTCCTTCTCATGTTCCTCCACATGTTCCTCTTCATGTTCCTCCTGATGTTCCTCTTCACATTCCTCCTGATGTTCCTCATCACGTTCCTCCTGATGTTCCTCTTCACGTTCCTCCTGATGTTCCTCTTCACGTTCCTCCTGATGTTCCTCTTCATGTTCCTCCTGATGTTCCTCTTCACGTTCCTCCTGATGTTCCTCTTCATGTTCCTCCTGATGTTCCTCCTGATGTTCCTCTTCACGTTCCTCCTGATGTTCCTCTTCATGTTCCTCCTGATGTTCCTCCTGATGTTCCTCCTGATGTTCCTCTTCATGTTCCTCCTGATGTTCCTTCTCATGTTCCTCTTCACGTTCCTCCTGATGTTCCTCCTCATGTTCCTCTTCACGTTCCTCCTGATGTTCCTCCTCATGTTCCTCCACATGTTCCTCTTCATGTTCCTCCTGATGTTCCTCATCATGTTCGTCCTGCTGTTCCTCTTCATGTTCCTCCTGATGTTCCTCTTCACGTTCCTCCTGATGTTCCTCTTCATGTTCCTCCTGATGTTCCTCATCATGTTCGTCCTGCTGTTCCTCTTCACGTTCCTCCTGATGTTCCTCTTCACGTTCCTCCTGATGTTCCTCATCATGTTCCTGCTGATGTTCCTCATCATGTTCCTCCTGATGTTCCTCTGCTTTCAGCCCTCAGTCTTGCTTCGAAGGAGGTGGTCCAGAGCCGTGCGCTGCGTCAGCTCCTCCAGGTGGTCCTGGCGTTTGGGAACTACATGAACAAAGGTCAAAGAGGAAATGCTTACGGGTTCAAGATGTCCAGCCTCAATAAGATCGCTGATACAAAGTCCAGCAACGACAGGTACGACGGTTTCCTGCTGACCTCTGTGGGAGGAGTTATGTCGCCACCTGATCAGCTGATGGTTGCCCGGGTAACAGCCGGTTCCTGACCGAGTCTTGTTGTTTGTAGAAACCTCACTCTGCTGCACTACATGATCACTGTGCTGGAGAAGAAGTTCCCCAAAGCTGCTGCCTTCAGCGAGGAGCTGCAGAACGTTCCAGAAGCTTCTAAAGTCAGGTAAGAATGAAACACTTCTTCTGTCTGATCTGAACCATGAAACCAGGACCAGAATCTTCAGGCATGTTCTGTCTCCGCAGCATGACTGAGCTGGAGAAGGAGATCGGCACGCTCAGGTCTGGACTGAAGAACATCAAGGAGGTGAGGACGATCAGCGAAGCTTTAAGGACCGTCTGAAACACGTTGAAGATATATTTACGCACGTGTGTTTCTGTGCAGGAGCTTCAGTACCAGCAGGCTCAGTCCTCGCAGCATCCCATCGACAAGTTTGTCCCCGTGGTCAGTCAGTTCATCACCGTGGCATCTTTCAGCTTCTCTGAAGTGGAGGATTCACTACAGGAGGCCAAAAACCTGGTGAGGTCCTCGTTGTAACTCCATCTTTACTGAGTGGTGGACACAGCTAACCAAAGTTAGATTCATTAACCACTAAACCACTAAAGAAGAATCTTAGCTCTATTAACACCAAACCACTAAACAAGTCTTAGCTTTGCTAACGCTAAACCACTAATCCACTAAACAAGTCTTAGCTTTGCTAACGCTAAACCACTAATCCACTAAACAAGTCTTAGCTTTGCTAACACTAAACCACTAATCCACTAAACAAGTCTTAGATTTGCTAACACTAAACCACTAATCCACTAAACAAGTCTTAGCTTTGCTAATGCTAAACCACTAATCCACTAAACAAGTCTTAGCTTTGCTAACGCTAAACCACTAATCCACTAAACAAGTCTTAGCTTTGCTAACGCTAAACCACTAATCCACTAAACAAGTCTTAGCTTTGTTAA